CAGCCAGCAATTTGTAGACTTGGCAGAATAAAGCTAAGCTACTGTAGAAAGTATTTCTAAAGTAAAAATTCACATTCAACACGTTGCAAGTACAAAGATGGGCAAATATATGAAATTCAACTTAATTGGTGCGTCACTTATATTCAGACGAATATAACATTCGGAACGCAATTGTTGATATAAAACCGATAATATAAGCTTGAATTATCGCAATCAGTGAGACTGATCTAGAGAATTGCCAAGGGCGCTTCTGGTTAAATATTTTTTGAAAAAAATAAATTTTTTACCAATTTTCAGGGTAAGAATATTTTCAGATTTCAAAATTTTAGAAAAATTATTTCTTGATCAGCCAGCAATTTGTAGACTTGGCAGAATAAAGCTAAGCTACTGTAGAAAGTATTTCTAAAGTAAAAATTCACATTCAACACGTTGCAAGTACAAAGATGGGCAAATATATGAAATTCAACTTAATTGGTGCTTCACTTATATTCAGACGAATATAACATTCGGAACGCATTTGTTGATATAAATCCGATTATATAAGCTTGAATTGTCGCAATCAGTGAGACTGATCTAGAGAATCACAAAGGGCGCTTCGGGTTAAATATTTTTTGACAAAAATAAATTTTTTACCCATTTTCAGGGTAAAAATATTTTCAGATTTCAAAATTTTAGAAAATTTATTTCTTGATCAGCCAGCAATTTGTAGGCTTGGCAGAATAAAGCTAAGCTACTGTAGAAAGTATTTCTAAAGTAAAAATTCACATTCAACACGTTGCAAGTACAAAGATGGGCAAATATATGAAATTCAACTTAATTGGTGCTTCACTTATATTCAGACGAATATAACATTCGGAACGCATTTGTTGATATAAATCCGATAATATAAGCTTGAATTGTCGCAATCAGTGAGACTGATCTAGAGAATCACAAAGGGCGCTTCGGGTTAAATATTTTTTGACAAAAATAAATTTTTTACCCATTTTCAGGGTAAGAATATTTTCAGATTTCAAAATTTTAGAAAATTTATTTCTTGATCAGCCAGCAATTTGTAGACTTGGCAGAATAAAGCTAAGCTACTGTAGAAAGTATTTCTAAAGTAAAAATTCACATTCAACACGTTGCAAGTACAAAGATGGGCAAATATATGAAATTCAACTTAATTGGTGCTTCACTTATATTCAGACGAATATAACATTCGGAACGCATTTGTTGATATAAATCCGATTATATAAGCTTCAATTATCGCAATCAGTGAGACTGATCTAGAGAATTGCCAAGGGCGCTTCTGGTTAAATATTTTTTGAAAAAAATAAATTTTTTACCAATTTTTAGGGTAAGAATATTTTCAGATTTCAAAATTTTAGAAAAATTATTTCTTGATCAGCCAGCAATTTGTAGACGTGGCAGAATAAAGCTAAGCTACTGTAGAAAGTATTTCTAAAGTAAAAATTCACATTCAACACGTTGCAAGTACATAGATAGACAAATATATGAAATTCAACTTAATTGGTGCCTCACTTATATTCAGACGAATATAACATTCGGAACGCAATTGTTTATATAAAACCGTAAATATAAGCTTGAATTATCGCAATCAGTGAGACTGATCTAAGGAATCACAAAGGGCGCCTCGGGTTAAATATTTTTTGAAAAAAATAAATTTTTTACCAATTTTCAGGGTAAGAATATTTTCAGATTTCAAAATTTTAGAAAAATTATTTCTTGATCAGCCAGCAATTTGTAGACTTGGCAGAATAAAGCTAAGCTACTGTAGAAAGTATTTCTAAAGTTAAAATACACATTCAACACGTTTCAAGTACAAAGATGGGCAAATATATGAAAATCAACTTAATTGGCGCTTCACTTATATTCAGACGAATATAACATTCGGAACGCAATTGTTTATATAAAACCGTAAATATAAGCTTGAATTATCGCAATCAGTGAGACTGATCTAAGGAATCACAAAGGGCGCTTCGGGTTAAATATTTATTGACAAAAATACATTTTTTACCAATTTTCAGGGTAAAAATATTTTCAGATTTCAAAATTTTAGAAACTTTTTTCTTGATCAGCCAGCAATTTGTAGACTTGGCAGAATAAAGCTAAGCTACTGAAGAAAGTATTTCTAAAGTAAAAATTCACATTCAACACGTTGCAAGTACATAGATAGACAAATATATGAAATTCAACTTAATTGGTGCCTCACTTATATTCAGACGAATATAACATTCGGAACGCAATTGTTGATATAAATCCGATAATATAAGCTTGAATTGTCGCAATCAGTGAGACTGATCTAGGGAATCACAAAGGGCGCTTCGGGTTAAACATTTTTTGTCAAAAATAAATTTTTTACCCATTTTCAGGGTAAGAATATTTTCAGATTTCAAAATTTTAGAAAATTTTTTCTTGATTAGCCAGCAATTTGTAGACTTGGCAGAATAAAGCTAAGCTACTGTAGAAAGTATTTCTAAAGTAAAAATTCACATTCAACACGTTGCAAGTACAAAGATGGGCAAATATATGAAATTCAACTTAATTGGTGCTTCACTTATATTCAGACGAACATAACATTCGGAACGCATTTGTTGATATAAATTCGATAATATAAGCTTGAATTATCGCAATCAGTGAGACTGATCTAGGGAATCACAAAGGGCGCTTCGGGTTAAATATTTTTTGACAACAATAAATTTTTTACCCATTTTCAGGGTAAGAATATTTTCAGATTTCAAAATTTTAGAAAATTTTTTCTTGATCAGCCAGCAATTTGTAGACTTGGCAGAATAAAGCTAAGCTACTGTAGAAAGTATTTCTAAAGTTAAAATACACATTCAACACGTTTCAAGTACAAAGATGGGCAAATATATGAAATTCAACTTAATTGGTGCCTCACTTATATTCAGACGAATATAACATTCGGCACGCAATTGTTTATATAAAACCGTAAATATAAGCTTGAATTGTCGCAATCAGTGAGACTGATCTAGGGAATCACAAAGGTCACAAGTGGTTAAATATTAATTGAAAAAAATTAATTTTTTACCAATTTTCAGGGTAAGAATATTTTCAGTCATGTCGCATACACGCTCGAATGAAATTTCATAGGTGAGAATTTATTGATATTATTTAGGGCCGCGTATAATATGGTGGCAATAAAAGTGATACGAGTGTTCAAGCCGGTGTAACTGCTGCTCGGAGATAATGAAGGTGCGGTAATTTATTTACAGCCGAGCAGAATGTTGCCACCTTTCCACTCTCGCTTGGCGGAGGCAGTTTGATAAAACGCACACACTCTGGTGCGAGCTTTTAATTGGGTCTGTCAAACTGCTTTTGTTGACTCTGAACTCGAAGGATTAGAGACGCGCGCGGTCTCTGCGCGTTATCGAACGCTCTGCGCGCTCTGCAACCGGGAATTTGTTTTCCGATCCAGGAGGCTGATGGAACATAATACAGCAAAGAGGGAAAAGAATTAAAACGCTTAAAAAAGATTTAAAGAGAAGACAACAAAACACTCTACAAAACTTACACAATAAAACAATCATAAAATATATAGTTTATAATATATTTAATTAATATTTTTTGCTTTTATTTTAAAAATTATATTTAACACTCTTTCATATTTACTCCTCTATAAGTATATCACTATAAACCAGATAATTATTTCATGTAATTTCGGTAGTAGCTCAAAACATTACACAAATTTTAAAATTAATTAAAAGTGGATATAATATGAATTAAGGATGACTACTTGGTTCATAAATCTACGGTCACTTACAGGAATTACGCAGGAGAGATATTACCACATCATTCTGTTCATAAATTTTTGGAAATGTTTTAGAAAAATAAGAGAAAATCATATTTAAAAACTATAAAATATATAAATCACGTTAAAAACAAACAAACTAGCAATAAAAAAACGCAAGTGGATTAAAGTTTCGTCTGCAGAGCGCATAATGAAAACTAAATATTTTTAAAGCGAGCATGGTTACGGAACCTCAAAGCTGAACCTATTTATTTTTTTACTAATTTAATTCTATTTTTTCACCTTCCATAAAATAATCAAAATATTGAATATATTTCACTAACTGATTTGACCTAATATGAAATTTTAATATTTTAATTTTAATACACACAAAAATGCTCCTACAAATTAATAGCAAAACTTCCTGATATACCATTTGCTTTACAGTGGACAAAGAGCGTCTGTGACAAAAGCAGATGAGCCGACCAGATGGCTTTTATTTTCCAAAGGATAAGATAATGAGACTAACGTTAAAATGCTGACAATTATCTCTGCCTCTGTCGAATTTGTACGTTTGTTTCTCTCTCTTATTTGGAGACCCACGCACGCATTATACAATCGTTTGTATTTTATATATGCAATCGTGGTGCGCGTGTGTTTGTTTGCGTTGATCAAGTGACTCGGGCGCTGACGTTATTGAATTTATTCCCGTTCGCTTTAATAAGTCTAAGTGCTGAAGCTTGTTCACTTCTGAGTGCGCCGCGCTTGTTGAGCAAATAAAAACACACACAGCAGCAACTGCTGCTGCTGAATTAGAGATAATTGATAAAAATGAGTGCGGCCTTTGTTTAATTAATTTATCAACCGCGACCCACACAGATGCTTTTATTTTCCAACTCGCGAAATTAATTGACAAATCGCCATTTTTGCACAGGTTAAATTTCGCTCCTCCTCTCTGCTCAAAATCCCTTTTTTACTAAAGCGTTGCCACGGCAGCGGAACGTCTCGTAAGCGGATAAATTGCAGCGGCGGCCGACGTGCGAGTGACGCAAGGGTTATTTTGTTGAAAGGGTGTATCAGCGGCGGCGAAAGGGGTCGTCGTCGTAATGTGTTTCTCGTGTTCGGATCGACGTTGCCGCAACACATGTAGTCACAAGCGTCGAACATACGAGCCGAGAGAGAAAATAAGACTTTCCTCTGCAGCTCCATCCACAGCCCCCTTTCTTCGTCAACCTTTATTAAACTCGTGCTGAAAAATCGCCTACAGATTTTATGTCTAAAAAAATCATTTATCATTCATGTTAAGTTAACTGATTTTTATTTTTTATTTCTTTTTTAAATATGAGTTTTTCTTTTTCGTGAATACTGCCATGTCCACTGTAGATTAAATAAGAAGCGTTCTTCATGAAAGACTTGATCTCTTCGATTTTGTTTTGCAACTGAGCCACCGATATGGAAACGACCTGTTTTTTTTTTATATGTTAATAATCTTGAATTCAAGGATTTTAAAATTTTATAAATCATATATATGACTCACGTTAATATTTACTGACTGCCATGGAACACTTTTCAGAATATCAAATTCTGTTCCACCACCTGTGTGCAAAGAAAGCAGATCCACGGTTGGCTTGTTCAAAGTCAGGTAGATTGAATGAAGTGGAATGCAAAAAAGCGTTTCCGATTTGGAGCTATTTTTTTGAGGCGCAGACAAATCAAGCATAAATGGTCCGGGACCTTTCAAGTTGTACCTGCCCTGCATCACATTTTTATTAAATTTTGCTAATACTTCAATACAAAATTATAAATATTTACAATCGTTGGTTTTATATTGGGACTAATGCAGGCCGGAACCAGGGCAGATTTCCTATTTTTTGTCACGAGTTGTGCAAAATTGTCCGGACTGGCCTCCACTAATACGCCTTTCCAACCCATTCGTCTCTCAAGATACAATGTGCTGGATGACGACTCTCCATCACCTGCCCCGCACTCGATAAAAATTCCATCTTTCTGAAGGAGTAAAATAAAAGTTATTATCGATTTTTCTTCATTGTTTTTCAGAATTAAAATTTATAATTATAATTGGAAAATTGAAACCGGGCGAACGTTGTTGCAACGAAAAAATGAAAAAATAAAGGACAACTGCCCCATAAGGCGACCTGCGGTCTGCTGATACTTTAAAGACCCATTTTTTCTTTGCTAAGAGGTTTGCCCGGTTTCAATTTTCCATGAAATCCACCTCGAATCCTCAAGTGTTACCATTCAATTTATTATAGTATATAATTGTTTACTTTATTTTCGAATATTTGAATAAACTGGAGGACCAGGCCATCAGAGCCGTCCTCTTTGTGCGGTTTGCTCAAGGAATATGGAAGCTCGTTGGAAGGTGGTGACACCCAAAGATTTTTCAGTACAAACTCCAGTAGAACCTTGTTATTCGCCTCGTACTTAACAAGACTCTCAACTTTTATGTATAAAATTCAAAACTCATTAGTATACATTGAAAAAAAATTACAACCACTCACTTTCAGAAGGGAAATAAACAAACCACTGGCGAACACCTTTATATGAAAAAAGAGAAAATCATGAAAATATTATTTTATCAATTTTTTAATTACTCAAAGGCAAATTTGACGCTACAAAGGAGCCAGAAAATTTTTTCACGTCATTCTTCAAGGATTGCAGGACCTGGCTTCCCCCTGGTCCCTTTTGTTGTCCTGCAACTTTATCCACATGTTTCTTGAGCTGCGCTAAAACGCGCTGCTGCACCAAATTTGCATCAAACAATTCTTGATTTGCGTAGGCTTGGACTAATTTCATCAAATGCTCGTGGTAAAGATCCTCCTCGCGGCGAATCAAATACTTCGCCTCTCGCATCACATCCTTCCACAAATTGTCCATAGATTCTTGATTAGTTTTGTGCTGGTCTCGAATTCTGAGTAATTCATCCTCTTGACTTATAACCTAATAAAATTTTCAAACAATGAATATAAAATATAAATCGAAATTAAGACTTTTCTCACCACTTCTCTGAGCATTTGCACGTCCCTATTGCTTTGGTAAATGTGCCAGACGATGGCGAGCACCAAAACGGAACATGCCACCACTTGAAGTTGATGCAAGTTCGCAGGAAGCATATTGAAAAGTTAAAATCACAAAATTTTGAACACTCTAAGGAGGGGTGCCGAATAATAAGTTTAAAAATAATTAGCACAGAATACAGAGTAACCTGTGGAAACGACCTAGTTGTTTGTTGGCGAACACTATTTGTGCTGACGTACGGTAGAGCTACATGTGACGTACATCGCATCACTTCCTGCATCCTTTTACTTTCACCCATTGGACAGTAAATCAATTTTATTTCAGTCGACATTGCGGGTCATCATTTTCTATCTAATCAAATGATCAATATATTTCCTTGAAATTCATTGTAATTATTGCAAAAATTTAACTATCAATTTTATTTTTATAGTATTATCTGATTCATATAAAGGTGTTTACAAAATATAAGTCTTTCATATTAGTTAGATTTTGAATCGGTTAGGAAATTTGATTATTTTGTAAATAAAAACGTTATTTATAAAATTTTTAAAATTTATTGTTATCTTATTTGATCTCATTACATGTCAGACGTTTTAGCAGATATTTGCTAGGTACACCCTCTGTGTAAACCCTTTCATCTCTTTTTCCTCAATAATTTCATAATTTTTCTTATTGACCCTCGAGAGGAGAAAATAATAAATATACTAACAAAGTAATAAAAAGGAAATATTTTGCTACAGGTTTCAAAGCGTAAATAATTTTCTAAAAATATTGATTTTAATTGCAAAATGTTGTGATCTTTTAAATTTCGCTTGTCCTTTAGTGTTTACTTAAATTAAAAGTAACAATATATTTTTAGTAGAAACAAAAGTGTCACTTTTCACCACGTCCTCTCTTTCCCTCCTCCAGCCAAAAAGACGCGCCTAGGTGTCGACAGGCAGCTTCTGTATTCAATTTCCTTGGCGCCCGACAGATAATTACCCGTGGGAGCGCAATATATTCTTCCTCTGGTTCTGCCTAGTGTAACAAATCTGCTGGCTTATGATTGCAGATGAGCTAATAAGTGTGCTCGGCTGCGGCCTGACCTGGCCCAAGTTGCTCTCCGTCGTCGCCACGCTGACAGAGATGGATGCTGCGGCTATCTGTGCTGACGCGACGCAAGATTGAAGACCTCTTCGCAATGAATGCCGCTCTTGCTTGGCCCCAAAAATACACAACAGAGAGCACTACGCATTTGCCCTGGGGAAGAGACATAGAATCACTGACTGACATCAAGAGGCACCACGTGCTGCCTAATTACATCACAAGCAATTTCCATTAACTAGAACATGCCAATCAGCGAAAAGCAGGCAGGTGTTTTTCTCTTAATTTCAAACTGACACCACAATCCGGTTACAATTCTGCTTTGAAATTTTAAGGTGTAAATTATATTTTAAATATATCAAGTTGATGTGTGAATAAAATTCTGTTTTCGTCTGCGTGCGGAGCAGGTTCTATTGGCAATATAATTTATAAATTTATGTTAATCCATTTATTTTCGTTCTGCTATCTAAATCTCATTTTGCAAGTTTGTTGTGGTGACAAATTAATTGAAAGTACGCCTGACCGCGCAATTCCACAAAAGCCGGTGACGTTTCCTCCGCATTTGCGATTTATCTCTGTTTTCCATCTGTCGCCGAAACCACGAAAACCTCCTAATCCAGCTCGTTTATTCACACATTTGAACACCGGCACTACTTCTTATATTAACAAGACGTGCAGGTGTATATTATAAATTTTGAAGCGACTCAGGTAGAGCGAAAGAAAAACTTGATGGATCGCAGGCGGATATCGGTGGTGACACTGGGACGGAAGTGGTTCTCTCGCAGGGGGTTGCAGCCCCGCCAGGCGCCATCTGCCAAGGACCTTGTACCTTTTTGTCTGTTGTCCTTGTTCTTTGGGGTAATTCGATCTGAATGTCACCCCCTGCGGATGAACTGCGCGCATTCCAAAATTTATCCCACTTGCTGCTTGTCATGAGAGAGTGAAATGAAAACTTGAGCATAAAACGCATATCAGCTGTCCTCCCATTATATTTTATTACTAGTAGAGTTTTTACGCAGAGCCTGTGATAGTTTTTCATTTCAAAAGTATCATTTTCTTTTCTGTCTGCGTTATTTCGTACTTGACGAGTGTTCCTGTCAAATTTACGAGTAAACTGCTGTTTTAAGTTTGAGATGGGAAATATGCTTATCAATTTCCTAATCTTTTCTTTGGAGTTATAAATAAATTGGCTTTTGTGTAATTGGAATATTGCAACATAAAGATGTCCGGTGGCTTTTGCTTATCTCACTCAATTGCGTAACTGGCTGGTTAATCGACCCTCTCGCATACAGGTGGCCATGTATTTGCTCGCCAGCACCGCCAAACTCGAGAGTTCATTACTGCAGCAATATAATAATTTTTGATATTGTTACTCGCGATTATGACACAGACTATTATCGCTGGATTAGCGACTTTCCAGTTAGACCTACCCAGGACCTACCATATCAGCAGCGCTACTCATTGTCAGTTTATCACACCTTGCACGTAAACTAGGCATCACAAAATCAATACTTTTTATTTTACGTCCAAAAAAATTTATCATTATATCATTTATATAAATTAAAGTAAATAAAATAAAAAGTAAATTACTTTTTATTTGTCAAAATATATCAATTTTAAATTTTCTCAAGTAAGAAAATTTTATTATGAGTTGCTTTACCTATTTCTGACTTCAGAAGGTAAAATTATAATTTTAGAAAATGAAATTAATATTTTTTACAAGTTCATATCTCCTGTTGGAATAACTTAATAAATATAAAATCAAAAGTATACCTTCAATTTCCAGGACATAGCAAATTTCTGTTAATATAAAATAAAAATTTGAAAATTATACTGGTTTGTAGAGTAGAAGAAAATCAAATAAAATATATTGTATATTTGCTTTGGAAATTTGTTATTTTCAAAACATAATTTAATAGTATAAAAAAGTAATTAACTTAATTCTTTAGTACCTTTTCTCTTGAAATTAATATATTATAAAAAGTATAGCTTGTGAACAATTCTCTTGCTTTTGCATCTTTCTTTGTCATATTTTCCACTTTCAGTAATTAAAATTTCAAAGTGGTTTAAAGTATTAATTTCAAAAGTTGATTGGCATGTTGATCTAGTTTCCCCTCTTCACACCCACGAGTAAAAAGATCCATCGCAGCCTGTTATTTAGAGGGGCACACTTTGCATTGCATTGGATGACGTGCGCGCATTTGACTGTATAATGCGTGTGCCGATGTGCAATTTGGAATTTATTATCTCAATTTGAATATTGCTCGTTGGCAGATGAAATTAATACCGACCGGGTGTGATATTCAAATCGGCGCGCGGGCGTTGTTTGCGTGTATTATCAGGCGTCGAACGCGCGTACTGCACCCCCGCCGCAAATCTCACCCCCTCGCCATTGCCAGCAGCGCGTCATTATACGCAGTTTGAGGGGTGTTTTAATTTACCGCAGATGTCGTTAGTTACTTGCGCGAAAGGGGTCACGCGCGCGAATTCCACCCCTAATGTAGTACAACAGCATTTGTCGCCAACATTTTAAAGAAATCAAAACTAAAAAATAGAGTGGATGTATGAAAAGGAGTGACATTGCACGGTGCGTTAAACTCGCGAGCGGGGGTCGCTTTTGATTTGGATTCGGAAAGAGACTTATTTTGACACACATATAGAGAGGCGCACGCCCTTGCAGGAAGCGAAATAATGATGCAAAGGGAAGTGATAAAAATATAAAAAGTTGGCCGAGTGCGCGCCAGACGTATGGATCAGGAAGGATACGAACTCTGGCATTATTTTCTGTACTTCCTCTTGCTGCAGCCGATCATTCGCGCTCTTGATGGGCAACAGCAGCACTTGACAATCTGAACAAAAAGTTGCTAATGATTTTAATTGCATGACTGAATTTTCCTCTCCCCTCAGAGAAATACATTCCATTTTTTCCACACAAAAATGGAATGCTGCTAAGATTTTTTTCCAACTGAATGAAACATTAAAATTGTATTCATTTGAAAAAAAAATTGAAAGTTTAAACCGTAGAGAAACATTTCATTATGATCATTATATAAAATACAGTAATATTTAAACCATTTTATCTTTCTTGGTACCTGCTTGGTACATAGAAAAAGAATTCAAATTTAAAGTGATTCAAGATTGATCAACTAAACCAAATTTGAAACTTGTTTGAAAATACATTTATAAGTAACAAAAGAAAAAAGTAACAGACATGACGAAAATTTACTTGCTTTACTAAAGGACATCCTCGCTTCTAAATCTAGGAAAAAATATTTAAGTGTATAAGGCTCCTGTCTTGGATCAAAAATTAAAAATTAAAAAAAAAATTGATATTTTTTTTACAAAAATACAAAATTTGGTTTTTGTATGCTGGTTGCAGGGATCTGCGCAAATGGCGGATTGCTGTAATTTTGTTTCACTGGTTAATCTTGCTTTTTGTGTTTGTACGAAACTCGTCTCGCTGCGCAAAAAGCGGGAAAATTAATTCTCCTGCTGTGGGTTGTTTTTTTTCTTTTCGGTGCCATTTCGAATGTAAATCTGTCCCTAATCCCGTTTCGCTTTTTAAATTGAGTTTCGCCGGCGTGCTGATAATCGCACGGCCTTATAACTCGGCGCACAACACACACACACTTTATCCACAAGAAGACCGAGCAGTGCATGAATATAAAATAATGTTGTGTTCAATTATAAAATTTAAATTCGCACGCCGGCGCCTCTCTTTTTCGCGCTCGCGGCGGATAATACAAGAATAATAATGTTGTTTGCGTTGTATAAAAATTAGAAATTACTACTAAAAAGGGAAATGAATCTCTTGAGAAGAGTCGCACAAATCCCTGCGCGTTGCTTTCTCCGCTCTAATGAATACCATTATTATACATTCGCTGATTCTCACATAACAGCAGCCCCTGTTCTGCTTTTTTAGTTTGCATTACGGCTCAACGAGAACGCAGAGAGAGTGACACGTGTCTGAGTGCCGCTGCAAGGGGCTCCATTTCCCCGTGTATTATAATATGCATGCGATACGCGGGCGCGTGTTGTTATTGCTTTCGCATCGCGCACTCCAATAACAAATTTCACTTGATGCAAATTGAACAAATCTTTTTCGCGTTTGCACGACGCCGCTCGCTCCC